TCCACACCCCCACCCCTCCTCCAATACCCTGCCCCTGCCAAAGGACCTGGCCTGGAGCCCTGTCCCCTACCCCAATTCTCTTCGATGGCTCCGCCCCCTGCTATGCTGCAAGAAGAACCTCTCTTCTCTCCCAGATTCTCCTTCCCAATCACCCCTCCTGCATCAGGAGTGTCCCCACTGCCTACTCCCACAACCTTCCCACCCACCCAACAGCCTGGCCCAGGTCCTGCCCCCACCCACTTCCCCATGGACCTTCTATCCTCGGGGTATCCAGAGCCCCCATTTGGGCCTCGCTTCACAGTGCCCCAAGGCATGCAGCCCAGAGGCAAGCCTCCCACCCCATCCCCTAGGGGGCCGAAGCCCAGCCCTCCCCCCACGGCCCCTGCCATTGCTGGGGGCAACAACTCCTGCCTCACGCAGCTGCTCACAGCAGGTGAGATAGGAGGGGCAGAGTTGACAGAGGGGAGATGGGAACCAAATGTGGAAGTGGGGAGCCTATGGGTGCAGAGGGTGAAGGTTAAGGGGTAGGCTCAGCTTCAGGGCAGGGTGGTGAGGAATTAAGGACATGAACCCTGAACCTGAAAGGGGCATGGGTTATTAGGAGTGGGAGGATGGGGTCTTGGGAGATAACCCTGAGAGGCCCTCACAGTCTGCCTGTACACAGCCAAGCCTGAGCAAGCCCTGGAGCCACCTCTTGTGTCCAGCACCCTCTTGCGGCCCCCAAAATCCCGGGTAAGATGGCAGACACTGGGAGTGGGGGGGAGCCTCAGAGCTTCACCCCAACTCTCTACCCTTCTCCACCCCAGCAGGAGATGGTCCCTGAATTCCCCTGCACCTTCTTTCCCCCGACTCCGGCCCCCACACCACCCCGGCCACCTCTGGGCCTGGCCACACTGGCCCCTCCCAGGCCCCTGATTGTCCCCAAAGTAGAGCGGCTGTCACCCCCAGCACCCAGCGGTAAAGAGGGATTGCAGGAATTGGAGGACTCTAGGGGTTGGAGGGAGGGGAAGGAAGAAGAGGGGGACTATGTCTGGGGCCAGGACAAGAGGGAAAGGTCAGTGGGACCTTCTCTTCTGTGTTGGTCTGTCTGTGGGTCTGTCTGTCTCTGCCACAGGTAGTGAGCGGCAATTGTCTGGGGAGCTTAACTCCATGCCGGGCCCTCCACCTCAATCCATCCTAAGCCGGGGCCGTTCAGACAAGGTGGCACTATCCTCCCATCCTAAGACCTCTTTGTTACCCTGAGGCCCTCCCACTCTCCTTCTTAGGCTAATCCTACTTTCTGCCCCCCCAAGACTGAGAACCGGCGCATCACACACATCTCTGCAGAGCAGAAGCGGCGCTTCAATATCAAGTTGGGGTTTGACACCCTGCATGGGCTGGTGAGCACTCTGAGCACCCAGCCCAGCCTCAAGGTGAGCCCCCAACCCAGGCTGGAACCCCCAGAGCCCCAGGGCCCTTCCTGGACCCCCTACCTAAGACCAAATCCCAGGACCCTCCAGATACCCAGTTGCCTCCTCCCACCCTCCAATGCCTCAGTGGGTCGCAGCACCTGAGCCCACACTGGTGATGCCCACAGGTCAGCAAAGCAATGACACTGCAGAAGACAGCCGAGTACATTACCATGCTGCAGCAGGAGCGGGCGGCCTTGCAGGAGGAGGCCCAGCAGCTACGGGATCAGATTGAGGAGCTCAATGCTGCCATTAAGTAGGCAGGAACCTGCAGGTGCTGGGGAAAGGGGGGCCTGTTGCCTGACTCCCAACCCCTGACCTTCCCCATGCCCCTAGCCTGTGCCAGCAGCAGCTGCCGTCCACTGGGGTGCCCATCACACACCAGCGTTTCAACCAGATGCGAGACATGTTTGATGACTATGTCCGGACCCGCACACTGCATAACTGGAAGTTCTGGGTAGTATCCTCACTTGGCCAGTGGGAGGGTGAGGCTGCAGCCAGACCAGGTTGTTCCTGGCTGCAGGCTCAGCTTCACAGGCCAGGCAGGATCTCAGAGCTGCTCCCAGAAGAAGGGACTCCATTCCACCCCTCCTTCTAGGCCTTGACATCTTGGCCAGCAGGATTGCCCAGCGATGGGCTGGGAGCAGAGGGAGGAGCCCCTGGATGGGGGCACCACAGCCCTGCCTATAGAAAGTCGCAAGGGTAGTTTGGGAGAACCTAAACTCTGAGTGGCATGAGTGGGCCGGGCCCTAAGGCAGGCATGGAATCACTTACCCCCTGACGTGGTCAAGCTCTTGACTGAGCCAGGGCAGGAAGCCCAGGAATGGGGGATGGTCCAGCCCAGAAGAAGGGCCGTGGAGGAGCTGGGGGAGGCAGCTAAGAGCCAGTTAGCTGGGCAGACCTTGGCAGGGTGGGAGGGCAGCTGCAGTGGGGGTCCTTGGGGTTCAGGGCTTCACAGTCACCAGGCCTTTCCCTTGGCTTGGCTTGGGCCGGGTGCCAGGGCTACATGCGGTGGGTGAGGATTCTGGCTGGACAGCAGGCCTGCTCCTTGACCCCGCCAGTTCAGCATCCTCATCCGGCCTCTGTTTGAGTCCTTCAATGGGGTGGTGTCCACAGCGAGCTTGCAGAGCCTCCGTCAGACTTCGTTGGCCTGGCTGGACCAGTACTGCTCCCTGCCTGCTCTCCGGCCAAGTACGTGAGCCACCTGCCTGCCCAGTGGTATCTCCAGGCCTCAGGGCAGAGGGTTCCACTCCGCTCAGACCCCAGGTTCAGCCTGCCTTCAAAATAGCCTAGGGTTTTGGCCATCCCACCATGCTCTCTGGATGATTCCTCAGCTACCAGAACACCTGCAGATTGCCTTGCCAACTAGCATCTCCCCCTACCCCTTTGTCTTCAGCGTCCAAGGACAGGGCCCTGACCCTAGGAGCTGTCTTTCTTTCCCCCCAGCTGTCCTGAACTCTCTCCGCCAGCTAAGCACATCTACCAGTATCCTGACGGACCCAGGCTGTATACCCGAGCAAGCCACACGGGCAGTCACAGAGGGCACCCTTGGCAAACCGTTATAGTGCTGACCAGACTCTGCCATTCACTCAGCTGCCCTGGGGGCTACTTTCCCTGGGTGTGGACTCCAGGGACAACTTCTGGGCACTCCTCTCCTACCCCAGGCTCTGACTGTCCCCTTTCCTGAGACTTAAGCAGGACCTTAGCTTCTTCCCACTTCCTGGAAGTCAGGAAACACTGAGTTCCAGTCTCTGCTCTGCCAGTAACTAACACTGTTACCTAGGGGACTCATACTCATCTTTGGACCTCCATTTTCCAGTCTGCAAAATGGGGGTGGTGAAACTTCAACCAGATGATCCCAAGGCCTTAGCAGCTATGACACTTAGGAGCCTAAACTGGTAACTCAGGGAGCCTGAAGGAGGGAACAGGATAATCCTGTTTCCCTGTCACTGCCACCTGCTCCCCAGCAGGTAGGGCACAGGCCTCTGTTTCTGGTCCGGGAAGCAGACAAAGAGATCTCTCTCTCTGTTCTTTTACTGGTAACCTGGGGGCACTGCAGGATAGCATCCCTGGGTAGATGAGGCCAAGAAGCTCTGATCCCAGGAGAGAGCACAGCAGCCGGTGGCCAGACCAAGACTGGCATCTTGTGTGTGTGTGTGGATGCGTGTGAGTGGATTTTGTAAAGAACTCTTGACTAATAAAAACAAAAACCATCGGGGATGGTCAGCGTATCTTGCTCTGGGATGGAGAGTCGGTTGGCAGTGGGAGGTGGGCTCTGAGCTGAAAAGCAACTGGAAAGTTTTGACTAGAGGTGGGATAAGATTAGCTGTTAACTTCTGAACAGGATCCCTCTGTATGCTGAGTTGAGAATAGGCCATCGTGGGGCAATGGCGGAAGCAGGCAGCCTGATTTAGGCTGTTGTTGTCATCCAGGCAAGAGGTGACACTTGTCTTGGAAATCCTCCCTCCATGGCCAGGAGAGGGTTCAGAGAGGCTCACTACTTTCCAAGTTGGAAGAGGGCAGAGCTGGGATCAAGGAGTGGAAGTGAAAGGCCATCTGTTGGAGCCATCCAGAAAGAGAACGTGCTGCTGCAGCAGGTAGTGATGTCCCCACTGTGCAAGATGTGCAAGCAGACTGGGTGGCCACTTGGTTGGGATGTCTTTGAAGGAGCTGATACTTTGGATGGCAGTTGGAGTAAAAGACCCCAATACTTCATTGATCCATTTAACAAATATTCCCTGAGGGCCTACTGTGAACCAGGTGATGGCCTTGGCTCTCAGGATTCTGTTCACTGCTGTACCCTTCTCCTCATGGAGCTGACCATTCAGGCCTGGCAAGTTCGAATCCTCTCACGTCTCAGAACTTCTAGAGGCATGTGCAGGATATGAACACAGTCTTCCATGGGCTTTGCCCTTCTCTCATTCATGTAATAACAATAACCGCGTACCTATCCAGTGTTTACTACGTGCCAAGCTATTATAAGTGCTTTATCCCTACTCACTTAATTCCTACAGCACCTACCTCTACAGCCCTGCTGTGAGGATTTAAGAGTAAACATAAGCCCGGGCTGGGTTCTAGGTAGCTTGGTTGGTTAGATCATCATTCTGATACACCAAGGTTGAGGGTTCGATCACAAGTCAAGGCAAATACAGGAATCAAGCGATGAGTGTATAAATAAGTGGAACACCAAATTGGTGTCTCCCCCTCCCAAATCAACCAAAAAAAAAAAAAGAGTAAATATATATAAAGCACAACAGTGCCTGGCAAAAACACTACATAAGTATTATCATAATTATCATGCCCATTTTACAGATGAAAAATTGAAGCACAGAGAGGTTAACTAGCTCCAGGTTGCATGCTTAATGAGATACCCACCCAGGCTGTCTGACTCTAGTCTCTGCTTTTAGCCACTTCTCTTTACTGTGCAATCACGGGTACGCCCAGCCTTTAAGTGTTATTGGCTGCTGCACGCCATGGCTTGAAGTGGCTCTTTGAAAAGTAAAATCCTGGCAGTTTGTGCTCTGCTGTTTTCACCCACTCATACTCTGCCAGGAAGATTCCCATAAGACACCCCCTTGACTCCGTGTCCCTCTCTAGATGCCACCTTCCCTCGAGTCATCGCGCTCTCCCTTCTCCCCTCCCACTTATTCCCAGCTGCCTGCCTTTGGGCTCCTCCTCCCACCTTCCACCCTAGCCTCACCCCTGCACTGACTCTTTCGCCGAGGTCCCTTGACTCCCTCATCGTCAAATCCAGTGACCACTTTGCATGCTCTTCTTGTCTTTCCCTGGGCCCTCAGACCATCTTCTTCAACCACTCTTTCCTTTTGAATCCAAAAGGAAATTCGTGCCAGGCTCTCCTTCCTGCCTTCCTGCTATGGGAGACTCCTCCTCCGCCAGTCCCTTTCCCTGCCCACTTCCCTCTCACTGTGGCAAGTCCCAGGCAACGTGATCCCCTCTGTGTCTCTCCTGAGAACTCTCTACTCTGTCTGTCCTGCTGTCTCCCCAGAGCTTCACAACCACATATCCAGCTGCCACCCTGACCCCTCCCTCTGAATGTTCCACAGCTCCCTTAACCTTGTAGGAGTCAAAACAGAGCTCATCATTCCTGAGACTGTACCCCATGGTCTTCCCCCTCAAACCTGGTCCTTTCCATGTGCTTTCCATCCCCAGGAAGGGTGCCACCATTCAGACACTTGTGCAAACTGCAGACAGTCATTCTTGGCTCCTCCTCACACTCCACTACCTTATATTATCTGTTACAGAGGCCTGGCCAGTTGACCTTGTAAGCATTCATCTCCACAGCCACCACCCTGGTCCAACAGAACATCACCTGTTTCATGAACCTCCTGTGTCCCTTATAGCTGCTCTTCAAACTTAAATGTGCATTTGAATAATTTGAGGGGATTTAAAAAATCTTCATGACCAGGTCTAATCTGGACCAATTAAGTCAGAATCTGGTTGTGAGATTTAGATATCAGCATCTTTTAAGGTATTCCAATATGCACCCACTGTAATAGAGACTTTGGGCTGCAAATTATATATGTCTGGGACTCAAGTTAGTTTAAATCTGATTCTTAAACTTTAATGTGTATCAGAAATCACTTAGCGAGCTTGTTAAAATACAGATTTCCAGGCCCTCACCTCAAGAGTTTCTGAGTCAGCAAGTCTGGGATGAAGTCTAAGAATTTGCATTTCTTATGATGCTTGGTCCAGGGCTCAAACTTTGAAAACCACTGCTTAAACATTGATGAAATTTATTGTTTCACCTAACACAGGCCAGAGGTAGGGAAAACTCCAATTAATGCAAGGTGGATCTTCAATTGCCAATTGAAGTTATGCTTCCACCACTTCTTTGGCTCCTGCTTCTCTCTGAGGGGGCCAGGTTTTTGAACAGATGTTGAAGGTGTTTTGCGACTGGGCCCTGCTGCCCTGTCAGCCTCATTTCTCTCCACAGCCTCCCGAAGAGTCTTGAATCTTGAATCTCCAGTGGTTTCTGGGATGCATCATTCCACTTTTCCTTTGCAAGTCCCCATCAGCCTATGAGGGAGGCAAGCCTAAACTTTTTTTTTTAAACAATTTTTTTCTCAATTAAAGTTGACATACAGTACTACATTAGTTTCAGGTGTATAAACCAGTGGTTTGACACTATGTAACTTACCAAGTGATCAATCTGATAAATCTAGTACTCATCTGATACCATACATAGTTATTGCAATATTATTGACCATATTGCCTCTGCTGTACTTTACGTCCCTGTGACTATTCTGTAATTACCAATTTGTACTTAATTCCTGCACCTTTTCCACCTATCTCTCCAACCCCACTCCCATCTTTTGAAAACCCAGTCTCCCAACCCTCTTCCTCTCTGGCAATCACCAGTTTTCTCTCTGTGTCTGAGTCTGTTGTAATCTTGTTTGTTCATTTATTTTGTTCTTTAGATTTCACGTATCAGTGAAATCATATAGCATTTGTCTTTCTCTGACTGACTTACTTTACTGAGCATAATACGCTCCAGATCCATCCATGCTGTCACAAATAGTAAGATTTCATTCCTTTTTATGGCTGAGTGCTGTTCCATTGTATATATGTACTACAGCTTTTTTATCCACTCATCTATTGATGGGCACTTGGGTTGCTTCCATAGCTTGGCTATTGTAAATAATGCAATGAACATAGGGGTGCGTATATTCTTTCGAATTAGTGTTTTGGGTTTCTTTGGATAAATCCCCAGAAATGGAATGGCTGGGTCATAAGGAGGCCTAGACTTTTCTGTCACCCTGAACATACCCCTTCCTACCGCATCCTTTCCTCTGACCCCATCTGCAGCATTCACCCAAAAAGGCTGTCATAGTCACTCCCTTCTGCACAAGAATCAGTTCTTCCTCCACACCTTTGCTCATGCCTTGCTTCCCACCTAGAATGCTCCATTCTCTGCTTCGCCTGTCCAAATGCCCATCTCTGAAGGTACAGGTCTCACTGCCCCTCAGAATCCATTGGCAGATCTCCTTCCTGATCTGCCCAGCTCTGCCAAATCCTGCTTTGTGTCATTAGTTATCCTTCCACATGTTGGCCTTGGCTTCTATCTGGGCTTGAAGATAAGAGTAAGAGCTTACTTACCAGAGCCCAGAAGTGCAGTGGGAGGAATATGGATTAGGAGTGTAGCAGACCCAAGTTTGACTCTGGGCTCTATCCCTGGCTTCTTTGTTGACCTTGGGTAAGTTACTTGACCTGAGCTTATTTTTTTCACCCGTTTAAAGTTATTTCATAGCATCTTAAAGGTCTCTATAAAGAATAATTCTTGATGTGAAAGAATCTTGTATCCTTGACTGAGCTGTACACAGCTGAGCCCTACTCTTTGCTTCTCTGTCCCCCACATCAATAGACTGGTGTCAGAGACCTGCATGTGTACCCAGGTTCACTCTTGACTAGTGTGACCTCTGTAAAGTCACTTAATGAGCACCCCTAGAGCATCAGTCTCCTAATCTGCAGGATGGGAATATGAGAAGATTAAATGTAATGCAAAGCTCCTGGATCAATAAATGTCACATGCAAAATGCTTGGTGAATGAAATTCTTCCTAAAAGTACAGCTTTGTCTTTAAGTAGTGGAGGAAGTGGTTGGGTGGGTCTACACTTCCAAAAAAGCAAGTTAAGGAGGGAAAGCCCCAGAATGCTCTGGACACCCACCTCCAGCCCTCCCTACCCCACTGCCCATAGCTCAGACAATGCCAGCACACACACACACACACACACACACACACACACACACACACACACACACACACGACAAAAGGGAAGGAAATGAGGCCACTCCATTTGCTCTCTGACTGGATCTGCTTCCTCACCAAGGCTGTGGTGTGTCTGTTTGCCATCTAGTCTCTCTGCAGCAGCCTCTCCCCTCAGGGGGACTTTCTAAAGACCAGAGGGTCTGCACTCTCAGGAGAGGCTCCCTGGTGGGCATGGAAATGTCTGAATCTGGAATCTCTGACCCTGGAACTTTGATTTGCTGTGGGTCTCAGGGCTGGGAGGCCCACAGAGCGTGCCTGTTCTGGAACTATTCCCTCTCTAACCAAGCGGATCTAATCCAAATTCTATTATTAATCTTTCAGAATATCACGCTTTTTGGTGAAATCTGAATAAGCTCTAAAGATTGTATCAATGCCAATTTCCTGGTTTTGATATTACACTATAGTTATGGAAGATGTTACCATTGGGGAAAACTGGGTAAAGGGTGCATGGAACTTTCCTGTTCATTTTTTTCAACTCCCTGTGAATCTTTAATCATTTCAAAATAAGAAATATCTTGCCCTGGCCAGGTGGCTCAGTTGGTTGGAGTGCTGTCCTATGCACCAAAAGGTTGAGGGTTTGATCCCCACTTGGGGCGAGTACAGGAGGCGACCTATCTCTCTCTCTCCTGTCCTCGCTCTCTAAAAATCAATTTTAAAAAAACACATATCTTTGGGGGAGGATTAAAAAAAAGAAATGTCAAAATCTTCTTTTCAACTTCCTCTCCACTCCCCAGGCCACCCTTAAGTCTGGCCCTTATCATTCCCCTCTAAGATCTTAGCAAATACCTCCTGATTTTCCTTCTGTTTTTGTTCTTGGCACACACTGGTCCAACCAGAGAATCTCGAAGACAGCAATTTTGCCCTATCCTCCCCGTAATAACCAGTGGAGTTTCGTCTCTGCTTATTGGATTGAGTTGGCCCTCAAGGACCTCGAGACCTTTCCAATCGTACCTGCTACTTTTTGTTTGCCGACAGCATCCCTCCTTCTCAGGCCTTTGATGAGGCCGTTCCACACTCCAATTCCAGACGACCCTTTCCCTTCGCCATTGATAGTAAAAGCCCGTGTGAATGTCCCCAACGGCCAGGCCCCGCCCCTCGAGGCGCTTTAACGGTCCGGCCACGCCCCCCTGCGTGCACGGCCCCGCGGAGACGTGCAGGCTCTCGCGTAGCCAGGGGCTGAGGTGGCAGCCGCCGGGCCAATATGGAGCTGCCACAGATGCCGGAGCTGATGGGGGTGTCGCTCTTCCTCGGGCTGCTGGCCCTGGTGGCGACGGCGGCGGTAGCGCGGGGGTGGCTGCGCGGAGAGGAGGAGACGAGCATCCGGTCTGCGGGTTAGTGGGGCCGGGGCGGGCAGGGGCGGCCCGCGGCGACCTCGCTTCCGATCTCCCAGAGGTCCGACCTCCGGTCTGGGCCCGCGGGGATGCCGGCTCTCCCTGGGCCTCAGTTTCTCCTCTTGTGGAATGAGCTTCGCTTCCCGACAAGAGATGCCGCCCGGCCTGGCCGGTCGCGCCCCTTCGGGAAGACTAGTTAGAACCTGGGTCCCACGCTGCCGCTTCCTCAGTGGTCGAGGCCAAGCTGCTTTGCCTTTTGAGTCTCAGCTTGTCCCCGGGGTTGCTGCGAGATCGCTTCTAAGCCTCCAAGCGCTCTACTTGTTAGTTATTTTATGAAAATGGGCGGGGAGGTGAGGGACGGATCGATATTCATTTGTAAGCACTCTGACTAATTCCCTGATTTATTGTGTGCCTACTACCTCAATAGGTTTTGGGGTCTTTTCCCCTAGTCCACTGTGGGGTAGTGGAGAAGAACATCTAAAAATGTGAGCGAAAAATATAATGTAATAAGTTTCCTAGAAGAGGTCAGTTCTCGAAATAGGAAACCCAATGGTGGGAGTGGTCAGCCCTGCTTTTGTGTGTGTGTGTGAAGGAAATCTTCACTGAGAGTAGGGAACACAAGAGATGTGGTCTTAAAGCATGAGTTTGCCAGGAGGGAAGGACATTCCCAGTAATGACAACTTGCACAAAGGCAAGAGCCCTCAACAGCATTTGGTATGACTTTAGTGGGAGGAGAGGGGGTTTGTTAGACAAGGCTGGAGAGGTAAGCAGAGGGCAGACTGTGGCCATCTTTGTATTTGGGCATCAGGAGTTGTTTTCCTGTAGGAATTGAGGAGTGTCTGCAGTGATAGATCTCTTTTCAACTGGCCTGATTCTCAATTAAATTAGCTATTTTATGCAAAAGTGACTGGCGGCATTTCTGACACAGGGTAACTCAATGCACATTGACTGCCTCTCATCCCTCAGTTCTCTCTGAGTCTTTTAAGCCTTTAATGCTTGTGTTGGATACTCTAGTTGTCATTTTGTATGTATTATCGGGTTCTCAAAACTTTAAGGTAAGTAAGGCCCAGAGCAATTGAGTAACTTACCCAAGGTTCAGTAAGTTATGCCTAACCTCAGTAAGTTATGCCAAACCTCGGTTGTGCACATTATTCCCTATGTAGGGAAGTCTGGCCAAGAATCTGCACTCCACTGAGCTGTACCAGCCCAGAGAGGGCGCCTTTTCTAATTTGCATTGAGTTGCTATATGGACTAACAGCAAGCAGCTTCCTCAAGATCACAATCTAAATCCAGGTCTGATCCCAAAGTCTCTGGTTTTGCCTACAATCACTCTCTCTTGCTGAGGATAGGGTCCATATCTGGTCATCTCCTGCTGCTCTCCTCAATGCCTGGCCAATTATAGGTGGTTAATAAATGCTTATTGAGTGAGTAATGGATGGATAACATGGCCCTTCCTTATAGGCCAAAAAGCAAATGAATTTCCACTTGACAAGTCCTTGAGATCCAAGAAGCAGAAACAGCAACAGCGTATTCGCAAAGAGAAACCTCAGCAACACAACTTCACTCATCGCCTCCTGGCTGCAGCACTGAAGGTACATGGGTAACATGCACAACACACATACAAAGACTCACGCCCTCACAGACTTTTTGTGGGTTTTTTTCCCCCCAAGGTTTTTTTTTTATTGATTTTTACTGAGAGAGGAAGGGAGAGGGAGAGAAAAATAGAAACTGATGAGAGGGGAAACACTGATTGGCTTCCTCCTGCATCCCCACATTGGGGATCAAACCCACAACCCAGGCATGTGCCCTGACTGGGAATCGAACCGGCAACCTCTTGGTGCATGGGCTGACACTCAAATATTAAGTAACACCGGTCGGGCCAGACTTTTCCTTTGTAGTATTGTGTGCATATTACAGACCCCATGGTCTCTGACCAAAGTCAATCTGGATGCCCCTTTATATCCCTTCTCATCATATTACATCAGGATCTTGCTATTAATCCAGGCTATAGAGCCCTAGAGTCATGGCTGCAGGTTGGGGTTCCCCATCTGCCCAAGGGGTTCCTGTTCACACCTCCTGTAACCCTTCTCCCTAGAGCCACAGTGGGAACATATCTTGCATGGACTTTAGCAGCAATGGCAAGTACCTAGCCACTTGTGCAGATGATCGCACCATCCGCATATGGAGCACAAAGGACTTCCTGCAGCGGGAGCATCGCAGCATGAGAGCCAATGTGGAGCTGGACCATGCTACCCTGGTGCGCTTCAGCCCTGACTGCAGGTGGGACAGGATGGAGTCTCAGGTTTGCCTGCGGAAGCCCAGCCCCAGGCTTATGGTCTTCCCATACCAGGTTTGGGATAGTGAGGGGGGACTCAGGGTCTCCCTTTGGGTAGCAGAAAGAGAGCATCCAGACAGATTGAGCACTGCCTGGGGCTCCCTAGAGGGCTATATAGCTGTATAGCAAGGAAGCAATTTGGGAAGTACCAAAGTCTGGCTTCTGGATTAATCTTGGAAGCTATAATGATTTTCAAAGCCCTAGAAAAACTAAATGAGCAAAAGGTATCAGAGGTCTATCTTATGGGGAGATCTTAAGAGATTTTGAACCAAGTTGTAAGGCTGAATTATAGGGCATGAGGGGAGATCTTGATTTTCTTTAGAATCTAGCATAGGACCTGGCACACATAGGACTCCCTGTCCAAATGAGTGAGTGACTTGTCTGCTACCTGTCTTTAGAGCCTTCATTGTCTGGCTGGCCAATGAAGATACCCTCCGTGTCTTCAAGATGACCAAACGAGAGGATGGGGGATATACTTTCACGGCCACCCCAGAGGACTTTCCTAAAAAGCACAAGGCACCTGTTATCAACATTGGCATTGCTGACACAGGTAAGAGGCATTCAGAGGGCGGAGCTTGCCCAAGGCAGTAGGGAATGGCCCTAGTTATATGTGCTGAATGAGTTAATTCTGCTTCAGCATTATGCTCAGCCCCAGCATGATAAAGGAGCTCTGGTTCTGTGTTCCCCTGGAGTCTGAGAATTGTAGTAAATCCCCAGGGAAGGCAGGTAAGAGCGTCATTCTTTAGCAAGTCTTTTTCTGTGTTGACCCTTGGCCTGGGAGGGGAACATGGATACTTTGGACAGCAGAGGCCTTCATAAGTGTCTCCTTGGAGATTGACAGTTGGTCTGGTAATTGACCTCAGCTTGTGTCACTCCCCTCACTCCTCAGGAAAGTTCATCATGACTGCTTCCAGTGACACAACTATCCTCATCTGGAATCTGAAAGGTCAGGTGTTGTCTACCATTAACACCAACCAGATGAACAATGCACATGCTGCTATATCCCCTTGTAGCAGGTAAGGAAGGGGAGGGACTCTTGCATCTGGGATGGGTAGAGGTTGGGGCTGGGGGCTAGGGACAAAGCAGTGAGCCAGCTGCAAATAGTGGAAAGAGCATACAGTGTGGAATCAGGAAACCTAGATTTAAGTCCTAGTCTCTATTTCTTCATCTATAGTTTTTAGATGGGGCTACTACATATCTTACAGCATGGCTGTGTGGATGAACTGAGATCATGTGTATAAAAGCACTTTAAAAAGATAATGTTATTTAGAAATAAGATTATTAAATTTCTCAAGGAAGGGGCTTAATGGGTTTGCAGAAACAAGATGCCCTTAAAATTAAGTTCTAAAGGAACCTGGGTTGTATGGCAGGTTTGTGGCCTCTTGTGGCTTCACCCCAGATGTCAAAGTTTGGGAAGTCTGCTTTGGGAAAAAAGGTGACTTCCAAGAGGTTGTACGAGCCTTTGAATTGAAGGGCCACTCAGCAGCAGTCCACTTCTTTGCTTTCTCCAATGACTGCCGGAGGTGAGTAAATTCTCTTTGATTTCTTATGGTGGCTCTCAGCCCCTCTTGGTAACCAGGGTCTTCCTGCCTGTCTCTGCAGCAGCTCTGAAATGGGTGGAGTGCCTGATCCTCACTCATCAGGAAGTAGACATAGCAGTGGAGTTGGCTTCCTAGTTGGAGCCCTTAGTACTGTCCCAGTGCCTTCTCCTCTAGGGTGCGTTGGCACTAGAGTTGTGATTTTCCATGCTACAGGATGGCCTCTGTCTCCAAGGATGGTACATGGAAACTGTGGGACACAGATGTGGAATACAAGAAGCAGCAGGACCCCTACTTGCTGAGGACAGGCCGCTTTGAAGAGGCGAGCACCATCCCATGCCGCCTGGCACTCTCCCCTGATGCTCAGGTCTTGGCCTTGGCCAGTGGCAGCAGTATTCATCTCTACAATACCCGGCGGGGTGAGAAAGAAGAGTGCTTTCAGCAGGTCCATGGGGAGTGTATCACTGACTTGTCCTTTGACATCACTGGCCGGCTTCTGGCCTCCTGTGGAGACCGGGCAGTGCGGCTGTTCCATAACACCCCTGGCCACCGGGCAGTGGTGGAAGAAATGCAAGGCCTCCTGAAGCGGGCCTCCAATGAGAGCACCCGTCAGAGGCTGCAACAGCAGCTGACTCAGGCCCAGGAGGCCCTGAGGAGCCTGGGTGCCCTGAAGAAATGACTCTGGAGAGTGCAGCAGAAAGGATCTGGCCTTCTGCTGCCACCACTGCTGCCACTTTTTTCCCCAGCTGGAAACCTTTTGAAAGGGGTATTCTGATTATTTTAATGGTAGCCCCTCTCTATTTTTTCCCATTGAAGCTGTTCTTGCCTACTTAGATCTCTCTCTCTCTTCTTGTTTCTCGTGACTCCTGGCCTTACTTGACTTGCCAGCATAATGACCAAGGTGTTTTTTCCTGGGCCCAAGGGGTAGAATCTGTCTTCACTAGGCACTGAGGAGAGTGGTAAATAGAAGAGAAAGGGAACATGGTCTTTGACCTTGTGGCAACATACCCTGGTACCCAAAGAAGTTTATAATTGTGGAGGCAAAATCTAGAGAATGCCCAAGTACTGCCCTGGCCAGTGTTGCTCAGTGGTTAGAGCATTAGCCCACAAACAGAAGGGTCACGGGTTTGATTCCCAGTCAAGGGCACGTACTTGGGTTGGAGGTTCAATCCCTGGCCCTGGTTGGGGTGGGTGTGGGAGGCAACCAATCGATGTGTGTCTCTCACATCGATGTTTCTTTCTCTCTCCTTTCTCCTCCCTCCTTTCCCTCCCTCTCTCCTTCTCCCTCCCTTTTACTCTCTTAAAAAAAAATCAAGGGAAAAAATATCCTCGGGTGACTATTAACCAAAAAAAAAGTAAGTAAGGGATTTCGTTTTGTGCCTCCATTTTTATTTGTGAAATGGAGAATAATAATCTTTGACTTCCTTACAAAAACATGGGGATATGAGAGTATAAAGTCCCTAGATTTGGAAGAAAAGTAGAGAGGAGTAGTAATATATGTTAATCTGTTGTCCAATATCATTTATTAACTAATGGGTAGCAGTGGGTCTCAAACACTAGTTCGAAACTAAATGAAGAAGAAACATATCCATTGGGAAGGTGAAGTTTCTAGGATCATACATTTTGTATCTGATACTGCTTTAAGTTGTATAGAGGAATCATAGAATCCCAAAATAGAGTCTTCTTTTTCAGGAGGTTATATCCTGTTGGAGGGGACCCCTTTTCAGTTCATTGAACATTTGAGTGCCTACTCTGGCCAGCACAGCTCAAGGCGCTGGAGATAAGTATGAATAAGACATGCTTCTGCCATCAAAGATGGTTGGTGGGAGAGTGGTATACTTGCCTAATATTAAGTACTTAATATTAAGTGCTTTTTGTTAGTTTATTTGTGGCTGTAGAAGGTTGTTGTAAAAGTTAAGGTAAGAGAGAGGATTGAACTAGGACAGAGGCAGTGGATATGAAGTTGAAGTGATAGGTTTGATAAGAAATTAGATATTTAGAAGTTTGAATTTTTTGATATAAGGACTGCTTGGATGTGGAATGTAAAATAAAGGAAATGAGGAATCAAGGAAGACTTGAGTTTAGGTAAAATTTATTCATCCAAAATCAGATTCTTATTTCCTCTCCTTAAAACTGGGACCTCTCTTACCCCCAATTCACATAAATGTTTGAATAAGCCACATCCTTGGATTATCTTTAATTACTCCCCTTCATTACTCCCTCCGCCCTACTAGCACTATAGCCACCTACTAAACAAAAAAAATTATTTTGGTTACGTTCCAGATTATATTATATCCTTAATCTACTTTTCTCCATCTTTTTTTTTTTTCTTTTTTTTTCACTAAATACTCATATTTTCACAGGATTCCATTCTTTGTAGCAGTCACATGAATAGGCTGGATGGGTCAAGCCCACTTGTGCTCAGTTGCATAGCAAACTTTATCTCCTTTCGTAACACTGTATGTAGCCTCAGCGGTGGCTTGATCTTCATGACTTGATCCATGCACTTGATCATTGGCTTTGAAACAGCCTCTTCAACTTCATGATCAGGGAGCTTTGAAAGAGAATCCTTACATGTTTGATAATATCTGAATGAACTATCAACTTTCCTCTTCCTCGCATTGGCAACTTTGTAAAGGTTTGGAAACTTCACTGGTGCTAAGTCTTCATGAACCTTGAAGGCATGTTGCTTTAAGATAGGGTAATTTATCTTCACCATGTTCAGCAACCAAGCACCTTTCAGTAGCTAAGAAAGCAGCTATTTCATGACCTACACCAGGGAGAAGCCCTGGGATTAAACGCTTCTTCAATGAATGCCTTCATTGTAACAAAAGGAGTCATCTCAGAAAAAGTTGCTATAAGTTTATACTGGCTTATGAAAGCATGTCCTGTAGGACCTCGAGTACTGTCTCCTTCGAGTTGCAAGAGTGCAAGAGCAAGCTTGACAGCAAGCCTTTGAGCAGCAAGCCAGTTTGTGGTCTCTTTAAAATCTAGTGCAGGATCTAAGTCAGCAACTGGTGCGGGAACATGGTAGAACCCCAACTTGAAGAGTACCTGAGGTATTGGGTTTCTGCTTGGTTTTCTCACAATGTAGTAAACAAGTGAGAATGCAGCCCTGACAATCTTGCACTTGATTTCTGCGGAGGGCTGTGTAGTTAGCAGGACCCATGGAGCTGTTCTCCCTTTGTTACCCTGGATTCCTCAGTCTGGTTTAACAAACTTTGTAAGTCAGGAACCAAGTCATAAAGTTGGATGAAGGAAGCAAGAAGCATTGTAAGAGTGGTGGAGATTGTACCTCCAATGGTAAGGCTGTTCACTTTAGATATCCCTGTCCCTGTAAGAGCAAGGCACAAAGCACCTAGAGCCTGATCTGGTGGAGGTAAGCTAATGTCTGTATGGACTATGCTCTATCTTAAGGGACAAAGCCATTGTGTTCTCTCCATCTTTTCTGTTAACATCGTGGTCTTAGCCACTGTCACCTACTGGGTAATATAGCTTCCTCATCGGTCCCCCTGCTTCTTCTTTCCTCTCCTCTCTCCTCTCCCCTCTCTCCCCCCTCTCCCCCCTGT